TGAGTGTGAAAAGACTTTTACTTCAGCTAAACATTTGAAACAGCACCAGAGGATTCACACTGAAGAAACACCTTACGAGTATTCACACTGTGATAAAAGATTCAGTGATTCAGGAAACCTGAAAACACACAAAATGATCCACACTGGAGAGAAACCGTATCACTGCACTGCATGTGGGAAGTGTTTCAATCAATCATCTGCTCTACACAGTCATACAAAAAACATTCACAGTAAGTAGATCATCTTCAGATCCAGCACTTTCAGGTCTGATGCCACGTCCTCACCAAATGTTACACAATAATGCAAGCAATAAAATATCATCTGGATAAATCTTTTCTAACCAGCCATTACAAGTGACATGACAAAGAAACATTATCTAAAGTTTTCACAGTGAATAAAGTTCATCTTCAAAATAAGCAGATTCAACTGTGAGATTCAGATCAACTCGATGGAGTTCCTCCCCAAAGAACAATGTCAAAAAGTTTTATTCTTGTATATAATTTTGCTTCATGTTAAAAATTATATCATTGTGCTTTCTTATGAGTTTCATATGATGTTTGATTGTCTTATAATGTATATGTGTCACCTGTAGATTATTTACTCTTCCATGAAAAGTAGAAGTTTTTACAAACTGTTCTTGTTCGGGAAGCTGAGGAATAGGCTGTAACACTTTTTAAGAGAGACTGAGATTTATTTTATATTGTTATTCATTGTTGTTTTTAAAATTAGTTATTTTAAAAACTTATGTATTTAGGAAATGCAGATGCTAGATATACTGTCATAAAGCTTTGTAACTGATTTGTCTGCTTCTCTTGTAAGTAGGAATGAATACCTGAACTCTGTATTAAATGGGTCCTAAGCATAAATTACGAAAAACAGTAGTATCGATAAGCTCTAATGTTAACTGTTCTGCTTTTGGTGCAGGGGAAATTAAGAAAATACATTTACAATTTATTATTGCTACATAAATATTATGAAGCTAACTGTGCTCTGCCAACTTTTGTGTGATGCGTTTTCGTTATTTGCAATCCAGAAGCGAGATCCCTCTTGTATTTTAGGTCTGAGTTTGTCTTCCGAGGATTATGAAAACAAGATGTTTGAGGTTAAGCGCTATATTTGAGAAAATCTGAGGTCTTGAGGACTTTATGGCCGCCACATGCGTGTATCCGTTAAGTCCACGTGACCGTAGTAATCCATTATTATAAGTCTACACCACTGATCTCTAATAGAGAACTGAATTGCTCATGATGTCATAGAAGTGAAGCCACCACGCTGCCATATTGCTATTCCCATACATTCTATCTAATTAAGAGTAAATCGTACGATTTTAATGAGAAAACATCACCTAACGAGTCAGAGTTTTTATATCTGAAGTATTCCTGTACATTTTTACAATGCAAACATGCTTCATGTAAAAGGTTATTTGTTTAATGTTGGGAATTTTCCTTATTTAGAATAAATAATAAATATATTCATTACAGTAACAAACAACAGATGCACATGATGAACATCAGATGGATGAGATCCTCAACAAATGTATTACAAATGACAAAGTGCTTATTCTGAAATCCGAATAAAATTTGATACTTTGTGCATATACCTTAATTCACCGTGTACAATTATTCACTGTTTATGTAATTGTTCTTTTTATCTGTAACTGCAAAATGTTTATCTGTAACTGCAAATGCTTCACAAATGATTTCATTAAAAGCAAGCATTTTGAAGCAGCTAATGATTTAAATGTTGGTTAAATTAATAATGCTAGAATTTGCACGTCTGAAATATATGTTGCTCAATCAGGACAAAGAAATACACGCATCATAACATCATTCAGAGAAATAATACTGACAACTTCTGCATTGTAAAGCGCTATGTAAATAATGGTGACTCGACTTGACAACTTATGGTACAGACTTAAGCCGGGCTCACACTACAGGAGTTTTAAAATCCTAACTGATTATGAAATCTGGTTGCAGCACACACATAAGGAGAATCTTTGCAGATTATCTTCCCTCAAATCTTAAACATGCACACACTACAAGATTTGAAAATCGTGGCGCATCACACACTACAAGATATATTGTGTTTCACTTCATGCGGCGCTTCATCTGTGATAGAGTATGCAAACACCGTGAGAGCGTCACTACCGGGAGCAGAAAATGTGGCTACTCTTGCCAGCCGGTGGCAGGCTAGCGTAGTTCATCTCGAACAAGCCTGCAGACTTAAGCCGGGCTCACACTACAGGAGTTTTAAAATCCTAACTGATTATGAAATCTGGTTGCAGCACACACATAAGGAGAATCTTTGCAGATTATCTTCCCTCAAATCTTAAACATGCACACACTACAAGATTTGAAAATCGTGGCGCATCACACACTACAAGATATATTGTGTTTCACTTCATGCGGCGCCAACAAGATCGGCTGCCGCCTGACAAAAGCGATGCATTCTGGTTTGAACATTTGTCCGACTTTGATCGGTGCTGCAGCTGCCTTACGATCACATGTGCCATCAAAGTACTGCGAGAGCAAAACAGACCAGCCCCCTATGTCAGGAGCTGCAGTTGTTCAAAATTGGCTGCGAAAGCCTTGATGACGGCAGACTTTATTCTCATTGGCTAGATTCTGTGATGACAAGCACGACGTGTGTTGTGTGTTTATTCTAACAATTAAATTCCAAAAATGGAGTCCAACTGGAAATCCAGTTTTTATAACAATAAAAGCATTTTAGTGTAGTCGCACGGTTATATTGCGATACAAAAAAAAACTGATAAAATGCCCCCAATAAATAAAATTTATTGGTATTTAAATAGTATATGTTAAGGTTGACCTTTATTCATGAACAGATGGCGCTGTATAAGGGCAAATATTGCATTTAATTCACTTCATCTGTGATAGAGTATGCAAACACCGTGAGAGCGTCACTACCGGGAGCAGAAAATGTGGCTACTCTTGCCAGCCGGTGGCAGGCTAGCGTAGTTCATCTCGAACAAGCCTGTTATTAAGATTATCATGCCAGAGGGAGTGCCTCACGTGATCTCACGCAGCAGATCGTCATTAATATTTCAGTGGTGTTTACATATGTTACCTAGTGTGCTTGTAGCTTTCTGCACTCACACGGTACGTTCAAAACTGAGGTGATTTCACTCCACCGCTTCTCTTTCTCCTTATGGTTGTGACACGTTTTCAACACATTATACAGACAGTCGTGTTACTACAAAACGTCAAGAAACAGTTTCCTCCGTCTCCACTATCCAATGGAGCCGTACAGCAGCTGTTTTGCGGTCGCTCATTGGCTATTGTCAATCATAATCATATAGCCGCCATCATCCCGATTTAAATCCTAAATATCAAACAAGTTTAGCCGCTTTTCCACTATCGGGCCGAACGGTTCTCTTTGCTTAACTGTTCTATTCCGTGCCGATCCTGGCCAGTCAGCACGGATATGGTTTCATTTTCCACTGTTTTGCTGATAACGGAGCTATTTGGAATGTAATACAAACGTGTCAGTCGTTGCCTTGGTAACGCAAGTGTAATGTAAACAGCAATATGGACGATGATCAGATATTTCTGATTTTGGGACTTTTCTGTTTTGTTTACTTCGTTAAATAACAGAAAAAAGGACACAACGACGCGAAAAATAAAATTTCATTTCTCTTTGTACCCTCCAGCTATTGCTGAAATTTTCTCTCTGCTCAAATATCAATAAGCGCAAATGTTTCCTCCACAGACCAAACTGGACATTTGTCTCAGACATTTTTTTTCTTCTTTTTTATATTGAACGTTGCGTAGCTGTTTACTTGGCTAGTGTGTTTCTGCTTAGGCCTGGATCACACTAGACGATTTTCAAATCTTAAACGATTTTAAAACCATGGAAGACCAGATACATAAAGACAGTTCAACCAATTTTTAGACCTATAATCCTCTGAACGCACACACTAGACGATTCGACCAGACCACACACTTGTTGATTGTAGGAACAATTTCACAGTGACACGAGATCTCATGGAGACTCGCGAGATCAAACGTGACTAGAGAAATAAACGTTTTGTTTGATGATCTGAAACATTAAAGTGTGACAAACATGCAAAAAAATAAGAAATCAGGAAGGGGGCCAACACTTTTTCACACCACTTGTATATATATATATATATATAATTTCATACTTTGAAAATACAGACATTTTTTCAATGTAACATTACAATGAAATATAATCGTATAGTGGTAATTATTTTGTTGCAATGACATACCTGCAGTTTATTAAAGACAGGACAGGAATTAACACCACGCAACCACACTCTCTCTCAAGTTCTTTGGTCTGTGTGGACTGCGAGAAGAAGGAAAAGTAAACCCCTATCCCCATTAACACTGTAACTGCAGCTGATTAATGACTCAAAGATAATACATGTCTACAAATATACAATTTAAGACATAAAAAGACAATATACTTTTGACAAAATTTAACTGCATAATATTTTAATCCACCTTTTTAATTTTATTTAAGAACCAAAGTTAGTAAAAAAAATAAAAAAAACGGCATTAAAAATGGTGTTCACGGTAACTTGAATCAACTCATTAACAGCTCATTAACACAAAACTCACAATATACACACAAATAACGGCATACAAACAAACTATTTGACTCAATCCAGCATCAAAAGTTGTCACACACTGATATCAACCAGAATTTTAACTCAGTCTGATACATTTTAACACCATGCTATGGAGCACATTTGCTACGTACCTGCCTCGCTTAAGTACAAAGCTATTCTGGCGAGAGCGGGACACGATTGGGCAATTCAGTCAGGTGAAATGACAACACACAACATAAAACTCAATATATT